ATTTTAGGATGGGGAATTCGGAGGACGGAATGGAATTAAGACATCGAAGAACAAACATCCAGGAGGAATTTGATGAGGCCACCGAGTTTGTGAAGCCATCTGTAGCCGAGTGTAAGTGTTGTAAAAATTTTAAAGATTGCAAACAATGAATATCCCTGGCCGGGGAGGAGACTGGAAGAGGACAGGGGCCTGAAATCGTCTATGTGTTAACATATGCTGTTCGTTTGGCATTTCTGGCCCACCACCGTTGAGAGGAGGAACACAACCGAATTTTGATAATTAATGAAAACACATTGGAAGTAGTGCCATTTAGATCTCCCAAATAAGCAAGCCTGTAATGTACAATGACTTGGCAGCCTGTCAGTGTTTCATCCCTGAGCTGTAAACACAGACGGCAGAATCGGTGCGGAATGGAATGGGAATCATCAGTACAGTGCCCCATTTCGCCATTTTAAAAGGGGCATGTTCGCTACCTGAGAAAGATGAAGGAAGGGAGGGAAGTGAGAGTGAATGTAAAAGAATAATAAAAGGTAAAATATTAGATGTTAGTGTTGAAATGCAGTAGATAGAAAAGTAAAAATTAACTAAAACTGTTTGGAAAAGTTAAAAAAAGCGTTACTTTTAAGCATACGTGTAAATTCAAGTTAACCTACTTTTGCTACGTGACCAATATCTGTATGAGATGGTGTATTGTGGTACTTTGAGCAACTGTTGTTTCATCGTCGCGTTCCTTCTCACCATTGATGCAGCTGGCAATTTCTCCATTCTTTTCTGTTTTGGATCTTTTTCGCCCACAATTCTGTGTAGCTATTCAAGCGAATCCATTCACCACATTGGCAGCCTTTTTTGTGGTATTTTTGACATTGCCTAGATACCATAATAGTCATAATAGTCCGTTTTGCTGCTCTGTTGTCTCTCATTCTTGTCACATGACCAGCCCAACTTTTCTTTCTGGCTTGCGCTGGAACAAATTCGGCTATGGGCACTTTTTGGAAAACTACGTGATATTTTCATCGCCTGTAGGAGGTATAAAAAGTCAACAGCGCTCCCTCACAAGTTTCCAAGTGCGCTGTGTTGATTGTAGCAACTAGGTTGATCTTGGAAGCCTAGATGGCAAAGGCGCAACAGATTGCAGCATGAAAGAATAGAACGAGAAAAAAAGAAGGATAAAAGTGAGATAAGACGTTTTGGTCCATTAAGTCATATAAGTCTTAACACTGCTGTGTTTTGTAATACCTCGAAAATAGTTGATCAGGCAGGTAGTTTTCGAACTTTCTATCGGCCTTTATTGTCACGAACAGATGTTTTTCGACTTTTATATCAAGTCAAACTGGCGATATTATTTATTGAAACGCTGTATATGATGTCATAATCATCTATGTTTAGACCAGATAATCGAAGCGCCGGACTGGGATGATGGCTTTGGAGGCTGCGAGAATGATTTCGGGAAATCTATGGGCCAGAGGTTGCTCCATTGGGGCCCGCTAACTGCCATTGGCATAACATTGATTGTACGTTCTTTTTCAAATGTTTTGCAGTAGAATATACTGAGACGCTCCAGTCAGTGCTTCAGTTTTTGTAGTTCGACTTTTCACATCTGTGCTACGTCTGATAGCACTAAATCCACACCACATAATTTTCTGTGTGTATATTATGTATGATAATTACTACATTATTGCCCACTGATCAAGATACCGTCGAGACTTATCTTTATCGCCTCACTAATCACAGTGCCATCGAGATTTTTATCGCCATGACTTATTTTTGCGCTGTCGACAGATTTTTTGACACCAAGGGCTTATGTTCTTCCTTGTTTTTACACTATTTGACTCACTGATACTACCCAGACTACGCTGAGATTTACTTTGTATCCAATCCCGTGAGTCATCGCCAGTAATTTGCTGATTAATCTGGTGATTTATTTTTTTCAGATTGGTATCGCCACAACGTATCTGCATCTGCTGTGGTGGCCGCCAACAACATTTGCTGCATTTCTTCACCTTTCATTTTTCTTATTCTTCAACTATCTCAGTCTGGTGAACCTGGTGCGATCAGCATTCTTTGGACCAGGCTATGTTCCGAACAACTGGAAACCACCCAGACCGGTACATCCTGCTTTCAAAATTATTTCTAATCAGTAGATCCGGTTTTCTCTCTCTCTTTTTTTTTTATAGCGTGAAATTTTTGAGTATTTACACTTCTTGAACAGTGTCATTTGGTCGTATAGGCGGATCCGGGCTGGGGAGAGGGGTGGGGTGGGGAACAAAGGGTCTTTCGTGTCTAAAGCTGAATTTAAACTAAACTAAACTAAAACCTAAAGTAACTTTAAGTAGCATTGTTACAATTCTATTTCTAGTTTTTTCATAGCTCCAGGTTGGTAAGGGACTCTTGCCCCCATCCCGCGTTGATCTATCCCCCAGGTGCCCCACCCTTCCCGCTCTCCTCCCCCCTCCCCCCCGCACTCATCGCCCTTTCACCAGGAGCCCGTCCTGGATCCGCTTATGTTTGATTATCGCATAACCGTAACGATTAGCTACTTTTGATGCGTCTCCTCTCTTGAGTTTGATGGCAAAATGGAGTATTTTTAGTGGATAACTTGATGGAGGGGATAAAACGATGATATTGTTTTTCAGTGAGAAGGTTGAAGAAGGATGAAATATCTGAACACGTGACGTAAGTGACACACCACCTCCTGTGCCTAGCATCATATGAAGAGTTTATCAGGTGCGTGAATGATGTGGAAGTGTCGCAGAAGTCCTGCAGAAAGCTGTCAAAAAAATTGGTAAACGTGTGTGCTGCCTATAACAGTAGCGTTAGACAGTAGAGAGCATGCGTGGCACATATACAGATATAAATTGCGTAGTGTAGTGGATAACACGGGTAGATGGTGCAGTGTGCAACACGTCATGGCTTGAAGGTTCGATTCCCTCCTGGTCCGTGGTCTTTTGCAAGAAAGCCTTCATGCATGTACAGGTAACGAGCAACATCGGATACAGGTAACTAGCCTATCTAGAATGTATAAATGGTACTCGCTGCCAGGTACAGGTTAAGGCATGTTACCTGTATTCTGATGTTTTCGTGTTCGTCACAGGAAGTAAATTATGGTAAACTTTTGGTTGATTGAAAAATTTTCGACAATTTAAAGGAGGATGAACCAAGGCTGCAATATTGTCGGTCGTGTGGCGGGTTCAAAGTGCCACGATCGCATCACTGTTCGAAGTGTGGTCGTTGTATCTTGAAAATGGATCATCACTGCCGTTCGTTGCACTTATTTTTACGCATAAAATTGAAAATACATTTTGATTTTCAAAGTTTTAATTTTTCATTTCGTGTTTTTTTTTGTTTTTTTTCCATTTTTTTTTGATTTTTTTGATTCCGTTTTGATTTTTTCATTTTGATTTTTATATTTTTTCTGCCTCATTTCTTTTGGTTGATTAGCTGGTCATTGAAGTTGACATTTTTTCCTCGTTACTTTAACCTCTTAACTAATTCTCCTCCGCGACATTTTTTAACAACTTGCTGAATCGCCGATGCAAAGTTTTATGTCATTTTTATGCTGTCATACGTCATTCTCAGTCGGACTAAATCAGAGATTATTCACTGCATATTTATCTCCAGGTTATATGCTAGCATGTGATAATACCCCATAATTCTGGTGAAATTGGTTCGAGCTTATTTTGTTAAGGTCATGCGGCGCCTGTAACTTACTTAGCCATTTCCGAAGTTTCCAAAAATCTCTGCTGTTTCAAAATTAATGAATTGTATTTCAGCATGGATAAATAACTGTGTTGGGCATCGAAATCATGCGTTATTTGTACGATTTCTTGCTGCTTCCACAGCCGGTTGCATTCATGCTGTTGTAATAATACTATGTGGATTATATCGCCTTTTATACAGGGTTCGTAATATCTTTTTTGAAATTGTTTCTGAGTAATCCAATTAAATCCCGGTGTTTTTACAATTGTGATAGTAATTATTTTGGTATTAATAGTAATAATAATAGTAATAGTAGTAGTGATAATAATAATAATAATAACAATGGTTTTGGTATTGGTGATAACAGTGATAATAATGATTTTGGTACTA